ATGCAGGCTCAGTGTCTCAGCAGGGCAGAGAGGAGGGGGCTTGTGCTAGGCTGAGGTGTCTTTACTGGAGGAAATCCCGGTGGAAAAACGCCAGACTGGGGCTTAATTGAAGGGGAGAGCACCACCTGCTGATACAGCACCAGGGCTCCTCCGGTCTGCTCTGCCTCTGACCTGCTCCCGACCGTGCTGTGCACTGGCTGGGAGGCATCCTGAGAGCTGCACCCACCCAGCAGGGAATAGAAACATCCTCCATCCACTGCCTGAGCCGTGTAGGGATGGACAGCTCCTCCCTGCTGCCAGGGAAGAAAGTGTCAGCCTGTGTTTGAGGAGGGAAGGAAAGCCTGTGGGTCTCTGGCCCCTGGCGAGTAACAGCCAGGACAGCAGGTGCTTGTTGGAGGATGTTTCTGCCCAGTGTGCAAATGAAAACCAAGGCAGGAGCAAGGATCTGTTCCAGGGAGTGGGATGGATGGGGTGGTTGAAGGGAGCTCCATAAGCAGTGTGTTGGGGGGTTTGGTCGGATGGAGGGTGATCACAGTTGGTTAGTTTGGTTTCTGGGTATGAGCAGCTACAGGCCCTGAGGGAAGAAGGGGAATGGTGTTAGTTTGGCAAAGGGGTCAGACTTTGGCGCTTTTTTCCTCCACAACCTCTGGTTCCTCCCATCTGCATGCCAAGGTGAGTGGGACCATCAAGTGACATAGAGACACACACTGAGGCACTGCTCCATCCCTCTGGATGAGAATTGTAGTGTGATGCACCCAGAGCTGCTTTGGCTGATCAGAGCAGCAGAACAACCATGCAAAGACACTGCCCTGACATTTCCCAAGGTTGTCCCTTTGAGCCTTCAGGGTTCAGCCCTGAACCGAGGTCAGGGCTGGGTCTAAGGAGCTCAGGGCTGGCATTTTAGCATCTGGCCCATCCCACTCCTCTCCCCATCTCTGCTGGCAGTCATATCTCCAGTCTGGCACCACAAGGTGATGATAACCTGGGGAAACTCTCTGAGGGGAGGAAGTTCAGGCAGGAAAACGAGGCGGTGCTGCTGGAGGTGTGAAGCTGCAGCTGGGGCAGCAGCAGAGGCTGAGAGCCAGGTTAGATGCACACAGGGAACCCTCCAGCAGCTCCCAGCACCCAGCACCGTGTCTGTGCGTGCTCTGCTGAAACACACCCTGCTGTTTACTGAGGATTTGCCCTCGTGCTGTTCCCTTTGCCCCTCACAGCCTTGGCTAAGAGCTGGTTGTTCACCCAGGGAGAGGCACCGCTCGTGTCCGTGCCTGGCTGTGGCGCGGCTCCGAGCACGGATGCTCCCAGCACTGCCAGATGGCAAACACAGGGACAGGAGAAAAGGAACTGCAGCTCTGCTTCCTCACTGGAAAAAAGCCTGGTGGGAGCGTGCCTGTCCCAGCTCTGCTGCTGCCTGGCTGTGGAGTTGGGAAGGGCAAGACAGAGCAGGGTCAAGGACTGAGCCCTAGGGTGGCTGGGGCAGCACAGGGTGTGGAGCTGGGAGCACCTCCTTTAGGTTTCCATGTGCCTCCAGCCCTTTGGTAACAAACCTTACATAAACCTAGCCGGAAGCACAGCATTAATATTTAAAACATGACATTTAAGGTATTGGATCTATGCTGTATTCTCCAGCAGAGTGTCTCTGTGTTTGCGTGTGCGCGCTCACGCTCCGGGCTTTGTTTTCCTTTTCTAGTGGGTTGTTGTGTGTATGTATTTTACTCGGGGTGTTTTGTGCTATAATAAGAAGGGGGAGGGAGCAGGGAAATGCTGCTCTGTTTATACACTCTGCTGTCAACAGCGATGCTGCCTCTTCCAGACTCACATGCTCTGTGAAGCTCCCTGGATCCAGGCAAAGAGCACATTTCCCCTTTATCCCAAGACTGCTGAGCCTCTCCTCCCATTCCCCTCTTGCTGGCCCTCTCCTTGAATTTGGTCCAGGGGAGCATGGCACAGCCCCATCCAGCATGCAGACAAGTGGATATGTGAAGGTTCAAAGGGACAACCTTGGGAATGTCAGGGCAGTGTCTTTGCATGGTTGTTCTGCTGCTCTGATCACCAAGAGCAGCTCTGGGTGCATCACGCTGGAATTTTTGTCCACAGGGATGAAGCAATGCCTCTCTATGTCCCTCCTGAGCTTCCTCAAAACTTTCCCAATGCTTTCCACCTTTGTGAATCATCTGAGGCACTGGTGCAGGGCTCAGCCTGAACTGTTACTGCTCACCCATAATTTTTATAAATCTCAGGTGTAGCACATCTCCTTCCTCTCCCTCCTGAATTTTTATGTGTTTAGTTTTTGTGGCAAGAGCATTTTTATGCCTCTTCTCATTTTTTTTTTGCCCCTGAAAATATTCAGTGAATGTGCCCTTTTCTCATTCTGATATGGGCCTCAAGGGACAGATCCTTCCTATCCATCTCCAGCATGCCATAACAGCCTGGGACACGCTGGAAAAGCACTGGGTCTGAATCCACCCTTTTGATATAAGTGGACATTATGCATTTTTAATAGACATGAAGCTCAGTGAAACCCTTAGTACTAGCTGAGCTGGCACAAAATTCCCAGGCAAGGAGTCTTTGGAGCTGATCTCTCCCTAGGTACCTTGCAGAAAATGAGACCAAGGACAAAAAAAGGCCACATTCCCTTTGATTGCAGGAGCTGCTGTGGTTTGCAGAGGAGCTGGCTGAGCAGGAGCTGCCTGGCTGTGCATGAAGGACTCTGGGCTGGCAGTCCTTGATCATCTGTTCTTCCACAGAGGAGGTGCAGCTTGCAGGGAGAGGCTATTTAAACCTCCTTCCTTCCAGCATCACCCTGGACAGTGTTTCAGCAGTACCTGGGGGCATCATCTCCCTGCTCTGTCCAGCACAGGCTCTGCCAGGCTCAGCAAAGCTCATTTCCACCCGAGGCACTGGTGTGGAGTTCTCCAGCTCAGGAATAAGGAGTGTGGGAATCCCTGTCCCTCTGATGATGCAGCTGGGATTTGTCAGTGGGCCTCCCATGGCTGATCACTTGTGGGTAATGCTTGGATTTCCAAACTTCTCAGCAGAAATCTCTGCATCCTCTGGAGATGCACAAGTTAAAACTGGAATCTGAATGCTGTAGGTTCAAAACCCAAAGGCCCAGTGAAAATTTTGGGAATCCCTGGTGAAGATCACTGAGGTTGCTCCACACTATGGATCTCAGATCCCTGTGTACTCGAGCTTTACCCAGAGTGTTGATTTTTTTTACTTTCCTCTTCCTTTTTCGGTAAAGCAGAAGTAAATCTGTCTGTACCTACAGGTTTCCATGGCACTGTAACCTCACGGAGAGGGAAGAGCAGGGGAATATCTGTGGACCTGTGCATGTCCACTGTGGAACAGGAAGAGATGGTGGTGCTTGGAGAGAGGATGGATGTGCCTGGAAGCAGCTCAGGACAGGTGAAAGGTGTCTCTGCCCCAAGCTCAGCAGTGACTTTTGGCTCAGGTTTAACTGCCCAGCTGTGACATTTGGAGACACACTCACTGTGGTGTTCAGCTGCTGCTGGGCGTGAGTCAGCCCTGCTGGGCCAGCTCCTGAAGGGCAGGATCAGGAGATAACACCTTTGCTCTCCTGCCCCCTCAAGCCCTGGCTCCTCCAAGTGGTCCCTAAGGAGGAAGAGAGCATCCCTACGGTTCTGTGCATGGATGGAGGTCACACACGGCTCCTGTGTGCCTGCTGGCCTGGGTGCAGATGTCACAGCTTAGGGGCAGCCCTAGTCACATCCAGGCCTCCTTCCCATGGGAAATCCCACTCCTGCTGCCCTCTGTGCAGTGCCAGGATCCTTGTGCAGCCTCCAGGAGGGACATGGGGGTACTTGGTGTTTGGGGGGCATGGCTGGGAGAGACCATGGGAAGGCTGGTGCTACAGGAAAGGCAGTGGGATGAGATGTCAGAGTGCTGCCCACAGCTCCCAAAGCTTGGCTGGGCTCTGCTGGGAGCCATCAGCACGGGCACGGGCTGAGAGGAGCCGAGGGTGCTCCTCTGAAGGGCTGGGAGTGGAGCTGAGCCCTGCCTGCCACACCGGGGGCTGGAAGGGAACCTTCCTGGAGGGCACCTTCTGAGCTTCCTCTGAGTGATGCTGAGCTCCATCCCCGTCCCCATCCCCGTCCCCATCCCCATCCCCATCCCATCCCCATCCCCATCCCCATCCTATCCCATTATCCCAT